AGCTGTATCAAATTATTTGGATTATTTATTTTTAATTTTTTATGGGGTTAATTCGGACGACTTGGCTGAATTGTATTGTTGGGTCTTGTTTCTTTTTATTTTGGGCCATACGGCCCATACGTAAATTTACGGTTAAGCTAGGTTTTTGATTGATCAAGGAATGTAAATTATGTTAAATATAAGTTTTTGATTGGGAATGTAAATTATGTTAAATATAAGTTACCTAAATTAGGGTAGATTTTGATTTATAATTACAGTTGAAACGGCATTTTATTTTCTACTATAAAAAGGGGACTTATGGTACATTGTAAAGGGCAAGAAATATTTAATAAAACTATTTAAATATATTTTTCCAATGTTTTATAGGGCTCGTTTGCGGAGGAAACTTGAAGTGCAAAATCGTGCACAACCAACACTATTTATTATTTATCATTTCTTTCACAATAAGTTCGAATAATTCATGATTCCATTATTAAAGATTCATAATCATTAAGGAAAATTTAATATTAATGTCATATTAATTTTTTAATTTATTTTTTTAGACCAAAAGAAGAAAAAAAAAAAAGCAAAATGAAGTTACAGGATTTTTTATTTTTTATTTTTTAATTTAAAAGTTCATAAACTTTTATTTATTGACAATGAAATCCGCAAACATTCAAAGTGCACTTGATAAACTCGGCTTTGTGAATAGCTCACAAATTATATGAACAAGAGATGTAATTTTGATTTTCAAATTGAAACATAAAATTTCAAAAAATTATAAACTAAATCAAGAGTTTAGAACCTGAAATATATTATAAAATAATAAGTTAACCTATACAATTCATCTACGCACCCTTCTGCCCTATTTAGAAAGTCATCGAAATAAAACTTAACGATGAAGATACAGTGCGATGTCTGTGAAGCGGCGGCGGCAGAGGTAGTTTGTTGTACGAAAGAGGTGGCGCTATGCGGCGGCTGCGATCTCAGAAACCATGCAGGGAACGAGATGGCCACCACCAATCACCAGCGTCTTCTGCGCTCCGCCGCCGCGAGGCCCAGGTGTGATACTTGTCGGGTACGTTATTAATAGTTCTAATCCTGTAACTTATTTTCTTCTAGAATTATTATAAACGGAAATCACTTATTTATTTATTTTTTCTTACAAAAAAACGGAAATCACTTTACAACACCATAATTTTGTAATGTTTTTTTTTCTCTAATTTGATATTATTAATTATAAATATTTCACATGAAACGTGTATTTGCTCTAATTAATTGAGTTTTTAGCAAGCGGTACTTCTGTGATAGGTCTAATTTTCGAAAAAGTCTTTGTTTTAAAAGTATCAGTATTTGCCCAACTGATACCAACTGTCACAGGGGTTTTTTTACTCAAGAAATTTTCGCCCGTGTGGCCTGATTTGCCCACCAAATCAGTCAGCCTTCTTCTCGATTCTCTTCGCACAAACGCACACAAACACAAGTCTTTTTAAGCCACGTAAACAATAACAAGAGTATGCAGCGGAAAACAACACACAAGCACGTTTACGGGCAATGCCCAACCTTTATATTAATTTCCCACAAAGAATACAAAGGAGACTAAGGTGCACGCACAAAATCCTCACTCAGAATGCCCACAATTGCAATCTGAACTTTCTAATGCTAGATGGGTCGGATTTGTGCACTCATAGCCCAATAAATACAAGGAAAAAGGTAGTTTTCACATAAAACTACCTAAGGACACATGGCAGCATACATACATGACACTTGGCCAACTATTACAAGTAATAAGGGGCAGTTTTTCGTGCTTTCCAGGCCTCAACCGCTCCGTAACTTCCCTCAAATCCGCCCACAAGGCTGATTTTCGAAGCCCATCTTGATAGGGCGCGTGCGCGCACCAAACGGGCCAAACAGCCCGGCCAGTTGCTAGGCAACCCATCTACCTTGCCTTTTCCGCACGTTTTGCTTGCCTTTGCCCATCACTTGCTAGTTCTTTGCCCACACGGTCTTTGGCACGCCCGCACATCGGGCTGCCTTCATTGACTTGCCAATCCGTCGTGCCAACTTTCCCACACTTGTCAAGTAGTTTTCGATTTCCCTCGAACGTTCGTTTGCCCAAGTTATCGGCCACATGCCGATCACTGCCCACGCTTGTCCGCATTTGCTGCCGAGCAACGCCTGTGCCAGCCACTAGTACTTTCGATCACCGTTCCCACTTGAATCAAGCCATTCCTTGCTTTCTCGGACAAACACCCCGAATGCTTGCCCAACACTCGACCACTCATTGGCCGATTGTGTGGCTGCCTTGTGCCAACCCTTGCTTGGCACCATTTCTCGGCCATGACTCGACCACACTCGAGTCATTACCGATATCACCGACTAAGGGGGTAACATACCTCCCCACCAACGGTGTTCGACGCCCTCGTCGAACCGAAACCATCAGCTTAAGCTTTCCCTCGTTTCCACTTGTCTTGCCACCGTCTTCGATTGTGCTTGATCAATAGCACCACATCGAAACCCAAATCCCAAGTCTGATCCCACGAATTTCCCACAAATTCTTTCAGCCCTCGGAAATACGAACGCCAATCACGTGCAAACAGCAGCACCCAACCACAAGTGAAAATACTAGTTTTTAGCACAACTAGCATTTTATCTCGATTGCCACCCCGATCAAGAAAGGAGAATTCTAACCCATGAGAATCACCCAAACACGGCTTCCATTTCCTCAACAACAGAAACCAGCCCAACAAAAATCCAACACGCAACATAAATTAAGAAAATACCACATTTCGAACCCACGAATTATGCCACACATGGCAGCAACTTGGAACAAAAGTAAGGCCACATTGCCCATTCATAAACCCAAATGAATACCTCAACTTGCCTTCGGCCCTTGTCTCATTTCTCGGCAATGCATGTACAAGCAAACCAGCCCGAAAATTCACCATCTTGCTTCCAACGGCTGCAATTAGGCTCGATGACTCCTTGTCGTTCGATTCTGCCTCCAATTGCACCGCAGCCAACATTGCTACCGGTTTCTTTCCCGCCTTTGCTTTAGTCACGTACGAGCATTCGACGAAGCATGGACACTCTTCGTCCATAATCATCACCCCTCCAAGAAATGGTATCACCGCAGCCTTGGCAGCAAGTAGGAACTCTTGCCCCAATATCACATCGAAATCATCTAGTGGTACGACAGTCAATCCGCACTGCCCTTTCCAAGAACCGATCACTAGATCGACATCGGTTCTGCCTTTCACCGGCCCCGCCTCTGAATTTACAGCCTTTACTTGACTTGCATGTTTTGAGAGAGTCAAGCCCAGCTTCTTGACTTCTCTCTCGTCAACGAAGTTGTGAGTTGCTCCCGAATCAACCATCGCCTTGACTTCTTTGCCATTGATCAGCACCGTGGCATACATCAAGCCCTTGGTGCCGTTGGGTGCCTTGTCCACGACCAAAGCACTCAACAACTGAATCGGATTCGCACGCCTAGTCTCGTCCGACTCTTCCTCACTATCCGACTCCCGCATCAAAGCATTCAACTTGCTCCTCTTCGGACAGTCCCTCATTCGGTGGTTGCCATCACGTAGAAAACACCCACGGTTTTGTTTGTTGACGACGGGTTGTCCACCGGTCTTGGCCTGCACCGTGGATCCCTCGCCATCTTCGAGCCTTCTTTATCGGAATCATCGGCCCCCACCTTGTAATCGACAAGTCGATCCGCTGCCGAGATAGCACTTGGCAGATCCTTCACGCCTTGTCTCCGCAACTCGGTTTGGGCCCATGGCTGCAATCCAGCCATGAAGTTGAACAACTTATCTTCATCGGACATATCACGTATGTCAAGGAGCAGAGAACTGAAATCCTTGACATAATCCCTCACGGTTCCCTTGTGCTTCAATTGCCTAAGGGATTCCCTTGCAATCCAGCCCACGTTGCAAGGAAGGAATTGCTCTTTCAATTCCCGTTTCAGCACCTCCCAAGTCTCGATCTTCACTCGGTTAGCACTTGCATCGTCTGACAAACGAGCACGCCACCACAACTTTGCGTCACCCACGAGATACATACATGTAATGGTCACTTTCTCACGGTCCGGAACCTTTGCTGCCTCGAAGTAATTCTCCATATCCCACACGAAGTTATCGACCTCTTTGGCACTGCGCACACCATCAAACGCAGTCGGTTCCGGCACCCGAACTTTGGATCCCGACATTCTGCCCTCAGAACTTGATCCTTCATTTCGAACAGCCCTTTTTAACACCGTAAAATCCGTATGCATTCCATCAAGCTTTGTCTCAACGGCATCAATGAGGAGTCCCATCTCCCTACCATCTCCACGATCCGTATATCTGACTTGAGCGTCGGATGGGTTTCCGCCGGATCAACCCCCGGCTTAGTTCACGTGTGTTCATTTCGCAGGGACCTCAGGATCATCAAGTTGTCAAGCTACTGATCCGCTTTGCTCTCCCAGCTCATTTTCTACACTACCTTAGGTGATCTAAATTTTAGCATCATCACTATCCCTATAAATAAATTCTATAAGGAAAATCTTAATGCACATGAGCTCACCTAGAGAAGGGTTGTATTCAAGGAAAATATTTTGGTCTTGTGTTGTTGTACCATGGTGGTCGAAAACTGAGAGATGAATATGAGGAATTTTCCATTTACATAGACATATATTTAAAAAATCTCAAAAATATTTATTAAAATAAATGATTTCTAGGAAACGAAATAAATATGCTTCATGTCTAGTTTAAAATTAACTAATATGATCTATAGTTCCGAATTTATTTCGGACAATGTATTCTATATAAAATTTCACCGGTTATCACATAACATGATTTAAATAAACACACATAGAGATAACTATGTGAACGAAATCTCGCTGCAAATAGGAAGTCCCAAGATTAAAATACATTTACCAATTTTTAAGCTATTTGTTATTTATTTTTTCTTTTTCGGAAATTGGAAATGAGAGGGTTTGAAATTGTTGGGACTCGTGATATAAAATCATTTATTATATATTTTTCCGCACTAAAAAAGAAAGAAACAATTAAGCCCCCAAACGGCCAGCAGTATAGAGCTCCGGAATCATCTAGGGCAAAACCTCTCCCCCCTCTCTCTCTCTTCACTCTCTCTCCTCCTCTCTCTCTCTCACACACACACACGCAGGAACACAACACTGAAAAGAAGTCTCATTTTAGGTAAAAAAAAGAGAGAGAGAAACACATTCTGCAAAAAGATACAATCATTGACAAACTTATCCATAGTATGCCCCCAAACATGGCGACTGAAAATTCAACGAACCGAGCTGAAGAATTCAAACTCCTCGCTAATGAAGCCTTCAAAGGTATGTATGTAGTGAGATCGTTTCGAGATTTCTCTTTAATCTCTGTTGTATCGGCGATGATATGCGTATTTTTTTGTAGTTTTTTTTTTTTTTTTATGTGAATGTGTGTGATTGATTTTAATTTGTTTTGGTAAATTGTATTTCAGCGCACAAATATTCACAGTCAATTGATTTGTATACGAAAGCGATTGAGGTGAATGAGGGTAATGCAGTTTACTGGGCAAACCGTGCCTTTGCCCACACTAAATTGGAGGAGTATGGGAGTGCTATACAGGATGCTACCAGAGCTATTGAGATCGACCCCAAATATTCCAAGGCGAGAAGAACTGTTTGGTTTCCGTTTTTTTTTCTTTTCTTTTCGTTTTGTTGTTCTTCGATTCGATTGTGAAGGAATGGGTTACTGAATTGTATTTCTCGATGCAGGGATATTACAGGCGGGGCGCAGCACATTTGGCAATGGGAAAATTCAAAGATGCTCTTAAGGATTTTCAACAAGTGGGATTTCTTCATTTTGTTGTTGTTGTTTTTTTTTTTTTTTTTTTTTTTTTTTTTTTTCCTTTTTAATCTGCTTGCTGAAGTTGTGATAATATTTTGGTATTGTTTTTACTAATATTTTTTGTGTGTTGGGGTATCTATGGAGTTGCATGTGAGAAATTTCAGTCTAGATGGCAGGATATCATATGCATTGACAGTGCAAAAAATGAAAAAGAAAAAAAAGTAGTATATGACTTTGTGTATGTACGTTTGTGTCGTGTGCCCTGGCTAAATATTGTATGCAGTACTACAGAAAAATACGACTCGGTCGCCCAATAAGTATTAATGTAACCGACACTAACATTCTACAAATAAAGTAGAGACCATTTCCCTTTTTTGAATAAGCACCATGAATTATTAGTTGGCCTTTTAATGCTTTGACTTTGGATAAGTGCTTCTGCTTTCGTTTGGCCACCATGTTTAGCATCACGAGAAAGTTTCTAAGGGTTTTTTATACAATGATTTGAAGTTGAAATATCTATTGCTTTGTCCGCATTTTTTTGCTTATCTTTCATCTTTAGTTTGGCCTTGTGTACACAAGCCTAATTTTTGCATACAAGTCCTTCCTTTGCTGGTTTATTCATGAAAACCTACTTGACAAAATAGTCTGTAATGCAGATGGAGAACCATTCAGCTTTGTTTAGCTCTTTTATAATTTATTCTGTACTTAACGTTACTAGTGTGGTCTCGTGCGGAATCCCACTCGTGGGATCTTACATGTTTTTAATGTTCTTACGAAAGATCTTCTGCTTCTTTGTATGAACTTCATATATTTCTTTTGAGAAATAAAAAAAGGATTTTATCCTATTGATCCATATGTAACTATCGACTTCTTGTTATACAGGTAAAAAGAATTTGTCCAAATGATCCTGATGCTACCAAGAAACTGAAGGAGTGTGAAAAGGCGGTGATGAAGCTAAAATTTGAAGAAGCTATTTCTGTACCTACATCAGAAAAACGTTCAATAGCCGACTCAATTGATTATCACACTATAGGTGCGCAAATGTCTTTTATTACGTTTGCCGCTTATCTGATAGCGTAGCTATTACTGAAAATTCAACTCGCTTAACTTTTCCCTTCTCATTTAACTCAACTTTGGATATCTCGTCACTAACTAAAGTTTCTCTACTGCCATAATTCTTGCTTTGTGCTGCAGTAGCTAGTAAGATTATCTTGAAAGGCATGATATATGGGATGAATAGTTTCCTTTTCTAGTTCTACTCATGATTATGAAATATCCGAGATGCCTTACTTATTCACTATTTATCCTATGCTTGTGTGTAGATAGAGTTTAGTGTAGTTTTATCCATGGAAAAATATCAATAAATAATTAGTAGTATGGGATCTGGCCCAAAATACTACTTACTAGAATATTGCCTATTTTATGGTTATAGGGAATAGCCCAAGGTCGTCTTATGTTTCCCTGAAAGTTACTGGGGTAGCAGCGGCAGTAGCACTAATGGCAGTATATGTGGGGAGTAAAGCAGCCATAGCAGTGGCAACAACAGCTATAGCAATTGTATTGGTGGTCTGGGGAACATATTTGCTGGGTCTCCACAAAGACAGTGTCTTTACGAATGGTCGAACTCTTGACTTAGGTTAGACCTTCTGAGATCAAATTAAACATTGAGGATAGCTCACAAAGTCTTCAAATGTCATAAAAATTGGGGGTTTAATTGTAAGAAAACATACATGTCCAGGACCAGTCCGTAAGCAAAAGAGAAAAGACTTACTTTTATGCTTTCATTGATGATGCATTGTTATCCAACCTTAGGGAATTAGTGGTAAGTCTTGATAGCTTCTTTTGTGATGCTGGACATTTGTATTTACCTCTCGTTTGCAATTCTTTTGTTGAAAGAAGGACTTCAGAAAGATTTATCATTAGTTTCTTTCATTTATTTTGGTTATTTCTGACTTAGCTGTAAACAATTGGAGACAATATCTCAAGAAACTTATGATCAGTTTTTCTTCCTTATCTCATACCCATATGGTTTGGTGTCTATTTTTTCACATACTTATTCAGTCTGTTTCAGTTTGTCTTCACTTTTGTGAGCTGTAAAGGACGGCCAGAAATATTTTATTGAATGAAAAAACTTTGTAATATGAGCTGGTGAAATAAATTGCTGGAACCTATTGGATAAGGAGTGTATGTAATCTTCTTTATGTTCTTTCAAAATTAACATTGATTTTATGGCAGCATATGTAGAAGTCTAAGCGGAATATATTGATGTTTTACTGTCGAACGAGCACAAGTTCTACTAAGTTTTTTGAATGAATTGCCGTAGTTTAGGCGTTAATGCATTAATGCACAAGGTCTAGATTTGGAAGTTATGATGAATTTTGTGGGACTAAAAGTAGATCTTGGCATCATTAAACTTCAGATTTTTCTGTTCAGAATTAATGCGAGAAGGAAAAGAATTGGTGTGCAATGAGCAAAAAACTTGGATTATCTGAGAGGTCAAATAAAAAAAGTTCGGGCTTTGTTTTGGGTTCTTTATACTAATAAAAGGTTGAGTTTGGGCAGCTGAAAAGCAGCTGTTTTGATGTTCAACTTATATTAATACCTATTTCTGACAAGTCAGAATAGTAGTCAATGTTTACATAAGTAATCGATAATTACAAATTCACCATACGTTTGAGCACTTTGACCACCTTTCATATCTCATTCTTTACGAAACAAATATCAGTATTCATATTGTGAACTTCAAGAAATAAAATTAATGATTGAAGCTAAGTTTGTCGATAGTTTTTACACTTTGAGTTATCTGTTTCCAGTATGTGTAATCTGAAGTTTTCTTCTCTTAATGCTGAATATAATCAATGGCAGCGCACACCGTGTTTCTAAAGTATTTACGACTAATTTGTTTTTTTTTTTTGGTGACTGATCTTTATAATTATCTTTCTTTCTATGTTTCTTCTATTCTCATTTAATCTTTTGTATGAATGAGTCGGAATATCCGAGTAGATGAATATGCATTTGTTACTTCCCACCACTATATCCATTGACATATGTCAAACAGTTTAATGGAAATTCCCTTAATTTATATCCTTTTTCGAGTTCAACAAATTAACAATGATTTACGGTTCTGTTTCAAATCCAGATGTGGAGCCACAATATTCTGGAGCGAGAATAGAGGGAGATGTAGTTACGTTGGATTTTGTGAAGAACATGATGGAGGACTTCAAGAAACAAAAGTTCCTACATAAAAGGTAGATTGTGCTAGAACAGTAATATATTTCGACTTGTGTGCGATTCTCTCACTTGTATATTTGTCTTAGATTTAGCTTTATCAGTGTAGTACATCTTGGTAAAAGTAGTTAATTTATCTGAATATGAGTTTGTTTTGGTATAGATATGCATTCCAGATTGTTCTGCAAATAAGAGATTTGATGCGAGAATTGCCATCTCTTGTCGATATTAAAGTTCCTGCTGGGAAGCATTTCACTGTATGCGGTGATGTACATGGTCAGGTAATGTTCATTCATTCCATGCAGTTCACTCCTTTAGTTAGCGACCGTCAAGTAATAGTTTAAATAAAAAAAAATAATAATAATTATATTAGGAAAAAAAACAACCATGCATGAATGTTACTTTCTCAGCATTTGGAAACAAACTTTAGAAACATATTTATCTTTATTCTATTTCATAAAAAAATGTTGTCTTGACTCTCGAGGTTTATCTGGTACCGAACATTTCTATTTGTGAAAAAAAGAAAAAAAATTCAAGCAAATTGGGTAATTATGCTACATGTGGAGTCGTGTTTACCTGATACAAAAGTTGTTGCATTCTGTTGGATAATACAGTTGGTATATAATCGTTGTATAAAGAATCCAGTCATCCATAAATGTCAAGTTTGGAATGTTAAAGCTATATTAAATTTAAGCTGGTTCACCCATATCTGTTTCTTGTTTTATATCATGATTAAAGATCTCGATTCTTGATAGTGTGACCAGACAACTAATATATATATATATATATATATATATATATATATATATATATATATATATATATATATATATATATACATCCTTATAACTCATCTTACGTGATTGCAGTTTTATGATTTGATAAATATATTTGAGCTCAACGGACTTCCGTCAGAAGATAATCCGTATCTGTTCAACGGGGACTTCGTCGACAGGGGTTCTTTCTCTGTAGAGGTGATACTCACACTGTTTGCCTTCAAGTGCATGTCTCCCTCAGGTCATCTTTTATACTCATTGCACTATTATTTTACTCTCTCCCCTTCCTTGACCAAGTTGCCCTTTTTTTATTCGTACTGGAGGATATTCATTTACTATATTTATTTGTCACTAGTGTATTAATTATGCTCACTTATTTACCATTAACTAAGGTGGTCTTTGCAAAAGCTTTTAGAAACCAACTCGGAGCTTTTTTCTGCACATAATCTGTTTTCAGGTGTTTGCAAAACAAGCTCTTGCTTTTGCTTCTCTTAAAATAAGCTATAATTTTAAAAGCACCCATGTACGTGTTTTTTCTTGCAAGTTTATTTTCCAGCTAATTTGCAAACACCCTCAACTTTTAGAAGAAATAAGCACTTAATCATAACTTAACTCACAATCACCACCTAAACAAATGGCCCAACTGAGTGACAAAATCTGTAAGGTATTAACATTGTTCACTAATATCGCACTTGAGTTCAAACAAATATACATAATTTTTCTGAGATTTTTAATGTTTTTGAATTCAATCTCTTCTTTGTGATTGTCTTCGTTTCTACTATTTTCTTCACTCTAAATTTAAGTTATCTGTTACCCATAGAATTAGACCATAGAATTACCGAACGTTGGTTTTGTTCTAATATGGTGTTGTTAATTTCAGCTATACATCTTTCTCGTGGAAACCATGAAAGCAAGAGCATGAATAAGATATATGGTTTTGAAGGGGAGGTCAGATCGAAGTTGAATGATATATTCGTGGAACTATTTGCAGAAGTGTTCTGTTGTTTGCCTTTGGCTCACGTCATAAATCAGAAAGTTTTTGTGGTGCACGGTGGCCTTTTCAGTGTTGACGGTGTTAAGCTCTCTGACATCAGAGCAATCGATCGGTTTTGTGAGCCCCCCGAGGAGGGTATGCTTCAATTTCAATACTATACTCCCCCTTTTTTTCTCCTAAATGCCATTTATTTTCTAGTTGCTGTATATACGCTATAACTTCGTATTTGCCACCTGTCCCACTCCGATCGAAAAGTTTGGCCAGTCCATATATTAGTTTAAATCCCGTAAAAGGTTTTAACTTTTTGGTTTTTTTTTTTCGTTCTTGTACAAGTAATTTTCTTTTCTTGGTTCATGATTGATTGAAAAATCATCTTTCTCTGTAAGCTTTGATGAATCACTGTCTAAAATTTTGAAAGAATTCAAACTTAAATCACTATCTAAAATCATCGTTTCTTGGTTCGTGATTTTATCCAGGGTTAATGTGTGAGTTGCTGTGGAGTGATCCACAACCTCAGCTTGGGAGGGGACCAAGTAAGCGTGGTGTTGGTCTTTCTTTTGGCGGTGATGTCACCAAACGATTTTTGCAAGACAACAATCTAGGTTACTCTTTCTTTCTTTTCAGTTTTCTTTTTTATTTTTTTTAACTCTTTCTGTTTTTGTTATTAACACCACCTGTTCATTTACTAGCTGCAAACGTAAAAAAAAAAGATTCAGTTGTTGAACATGTGTTTTGACAGATTTGGTTGTGAGGTCGCATGAAGTTAAGGATGAAGGTTACGAGATTGAGCACGATGGTAAACTTATTACGGTTTTTTCTGCCCCAAATTACTGTGATCAGGTACTGTGGTTTCTTTCAACCCCTTATACTTTATTCATGGACTATTAGTATTGCTCGTTAAATTGGAAAATTATTTTACAATGCTGCAGATAAAAATGTTTAACCATATTGAGTTTTCTTTTTCTCTAATTTATTTTTTAATGCATGGTTTTAATCGCGAAAGTTCATTTGACACTTTTAAACAATTATTTGATTAATTTTGAACTATAAAAAATATTATTTTTTTAGTGTAAATTTTCCTGTTTACTTTTACTTTCGTTTTGCTGGTGGCAATAATAAAATTATGGTAGAGAAATTTAGTAATATCATTTATTAAAAAAAAATTAAATTACGGTACCTTTTAAGTTTCATTTATCTATATTACACTAGGAAAATACAATGAAAGCTTCAACAAAATGGTAGTGTGACAAATACTATGTTATATTAATACATTAAGAAATGGAAAAAAATGCCCAAATTACAATATTTGATACCTACTATAATTTTTAATAATTGCATCTCTGTGAAGTTCAAAACATTTCATATTCTGCGTAGGGCATTATTTCGTATTATATTTTATGAATAGTGATGTAGGGATAAAATTTGACTTCTTGCATCCTTTTTTTGGATGACGCCAACAATTCTGGTTAGGTCAATCTCGAGGAGGTTATTTCTCGTGAATTGCAATTTGTTTGTAATAAAGCGAAACTGTTTAGTGTTTTTTTTTTTCTTAACTAACCCCGTGCATTTTGCATAAAATTAATGGTGCGACAAATTGATAAATATTGGTGTAAAAACTGAAAAGGTTATTATGCTTACATTTGAATTTGTTTGCTTGACACAGATGGGAAACAAGGGAGCGTTCATTCGTTTTGAAGCACCGGATCTGAAACCCAATATTGTGACTTTTTCAGCAGTGGTTAGTAGCTTCTCTCTCCCACTCGGACAATTAAATTAGGAAATGAGAAAAAAAAAACCGCATTTCTTTTTTTTTTCGTGTTGTTTTGCGCAATCATTTTGCACTTCATACTCGTGTGTTGTTTAGCGTCAATTGCTGGATTATTATGATATAACAATTTATGGTATTGATTAATTGCAGGCACACCCAGATGTCAAACCGATGGCATATGCAAGCAACTTCCTACGGATGTTCTCCTAATACGTAATTCTATATCTTGTTATATATTATTATTGTTTATTTTTACGGGAAGGCAGCTATCACTATCGCTTTCTTGTTGCCGAAGTGCACAATGATTGTGGCAGGATGAAAGATTTGTTTGACTTTAGTCATCGTCCGAAAGAATTGAATTTTACTGTGGCCTCGAACATTTTAGGCTAACCTACGATAATTGGTCGAGTAGGTGTCATATGTACAACATATTGTTGCTTTCATCATTGTATTCATACTAGTTTTTTGTATGATTATTATTATTATGAGATATGGGCTGCTGATTGATTAACTTAATCTGTCTCTCAGAATCTATTAAATCACCAATTCTTTTTATTTTCCCATGATTCCAAAAACTGCGTTCAAAGTTTGGTCAAAGAAAATTATTTTTTTTGAATTATTCTTGTGAGATAGATTTTTGATTTCGTTTTTGGAAAATATTTTGAGGGTAGAAACATGTTATCAAATTGTGAATCGAATTGAAAAATGTTTGGAAAAATGTTTGTCAAAATTGCGAATGGTAAATTGTATGCTTTTTTAAATTTCTTTAAAAATAATATTAATATATTAAGCGATGTACATGTATTTGTTTAGTGTGAATTGCCTTTACACGTTTACATCGTTTACACTACAAATATATATGAGTAACAGGTTAAAAAAGTTAAAAGTAAATGGTCTTTACAAAATATTAACACAATTAAAAAAAAAAAATAGTATTAAGGGGCTTTTGATATAACCCCTTCAATACTTCTTTTAATAGGGAGAGACCTAAACTATTTTGCATTATTTGAGAAAAGTTCCTTCCTAATTTTACGCACCCATTATTTTAATCGACTATGAGATATAGGCATAATCGATTAAGAATCTGACTAGTAAAAATAACAAATCACAACTACAAAAAAAATACAAAATTAACTATATTTTACAAAAACAAAAAATATACAAACATTATAATTAATTTATACAATTGGAATCAATAAACAAAAAATTCAAAAAAAAACAAAAAAATTGGAATCGATTAACCTTAATCGACTACCAGAGCATAGTCGATTAACTTAATCGACTATGAACACGTACATAGTCGATCAAGGTTCCAGCTGCACGAATTTTTCTACCCGCGCCGTTTTCGCCTGATCCACCAAAAAATTCTAAATCTGCCTCCCCATCGTCACCACACCGCCGCCACACCGCACTTTGTCAACCATAATGGGAGTTCGATCTCCCAGTCTCCCAGTTTCAAGAACTGGAATCCTTCATTAACGACATTACTGAAGAACTCCATTAACATATAACAAGCAGAAAATAGAGAAAACAAATACACAGAGAAGAGAGAAGATGAAGAATCTGGAAATTCATACTTTGTTCCCAACAAACTGTAATCTTGTCAAAATCAACAGAAAATTCTAACAGATCTACTCACACTCATGACATATTTGCAGAAATTAATCCCAAATAAACTGGGAGTTGCTTTTCTCTCTCTTCATTTCTTACGCTGTTTACTGTAAGATAAAAAAAAGATATTAATGTGTATACGACTTAAATCCCGTTAATAATATAAGTGACGACCTTTTTCATATGTACAGAGAAGAAGAAGAATAGAAAAAATGAGGAGAGAGAGGGAGAGAGTACGTAGAGAAGAAGAGGAGGAAAAAGGAGGAGAGAGAGGGGGTGTGTGTACGTGAGAAGAAGAAGAGGAAAAATGAGGACAGAGAAAGAAAAAGTGTACGATGTGGGTAGAATATAAGGTGGGGGGGGGGGGGGGGGGGTTTCCCTAATCATTTTTGAGAGGGGGTGTTTCCTTAACTACATTTCCTAGATGAGGGAGTTCCTGCTAATTTTTCCTAGTATTAAAAGACTCTGATTTATTATTATTTAATTTGTAATATTCATCAATGCAAATACTTCTTTTTATTAGGTTGAATGAATATAAAAATAAATAATCAAGATTCTCGTACAAACTCGTGTATGTGATTAATTGATGGCAATCGACATACCCGAGTATATCAAATAAAATAAAAAAAATCACAATAAAACTCTCATGAATATACCTCCTACTTTAAAATATAACTAGATTTGTAAAGTATAACAAAACTATTGTAATATTTTATTCTTTGTTTTTAAATAGAATTGGAGATGGACAATATTAAAAGAAGAGAAAAATAGTCATGATAAGATTTGGAAGCATCGATATGATGAGGAATTATCTTATTTAACATGTGTTTGTACTTAAAACCTAATATTTTAGCATAAAAATAATTTTATTCGAAGTCGTTTGGAGTACGAAGCAGTTC